GTCTTGTGATGAACCTATCAACAGCCAAGGGGAATCTGAAACTTTTAGTTGCTCATTCCAGAGACAGCTAAGTGAAAAGCAAGCATATGACACTTGGACGTTCAGGAATGTCACTGATAACTGAGGGGTCATCCAACCTTGAATTAATCGACGTATTGTTATGGAAAAGATAATAAAACTTCAATCACGGCAAACTTTTCGAACTTAGGAGTCCTGTTTTGTGGAAGACTTGTTGGATTACTTTTTGGGAATATCTAAGTAGACAGAATATTCTGCATAAGCCTCAGAATAGCTTCGGGAAGGACTAATCATGTGCATACAACATTTTAGAGAGTTGGGATAAATACAACTCATGATGGAACTAGGACACCCCACTAAATATTTAGCTTTCATTTCCGTCCAGATCGTTTATACTACTCAAGATTCGTATCTAGAAGGCCCTCCATATAAAAACTGGCACTCAGCTACCATCCTCTATCCTAGCATATCTGAAGAATAGGGGTTTTTGTGCAAACGTAGCTCTGGCATAGAGTTCACGAAGAATATCTTCCTCTGGTGTCTCGCAGCGCACTACTGTTGGGCGACTATTGTTTCTGATATTTATCTGTGATCTGTCGAATAACCCACCATATCCAATTACTTTGGAGGACTATGAGAGGCGGAGGACACCCACCCAATTTTCAGGAAAACCTCACCATTCTAAAGAATAGAGTTGTTACCAGTGAACTGCCATGCTTTTGCAGCACGCAAATGGCATAGAGTCCTATGCTATATTTTTAGGAACAGTCTACACCACACATCGACACAGAGTGACTTAAGGCTACTTTTGACGAGAAAATCAGACGCAAGTAACGACTTTGCGACAGATACGACTAAAGCTACTTTAGTCTTCAACTTTGTACACAGGGGTTCGGGTGCAACCACATCTATACAAAACATCTGTACCTTTACTCCTCAAAGCTCCCAATGCTGTCACACCACCACTGCTGAAGACGGATGCCATTCTCCTAGAGGATATCCAGAGAAGAAGGAAATAACGTCGCTGGGCTAAAACACCCATTGTATGACGAATGGCTGTAGAAACAGGACCGTTGTACAATAAGCTGCCACAGAATAGTCGACAGCATCATGAAAACCTTTGAATGGTGCCTCGTAGGGAAGCGCAAGATGTGTTGCCCGTCCAAAGACAGAAAAATAGGTGCGATCTGAATCCTCTTCTCCTAAGGTTTATTATCTGGAGAATTCTGCTGCGGGCGAAGTAGACACCGCACTGTCAGTGTCTTCAAGAGCTACTCTGAGTTGTAGTATATCTCCTGGGTGGGGGGCATTGTAATCATAATTATCCCCTTAATTTTTGCCTACTTTATTGTTTTATCTTTTTTACTCGTTTTCCTATCACTCTAGCTTCCAAATTTTTCGCTTTTTACGTTCTCCCAACTTAAGCATGTCTCTTTTATTCACTTTTGTTTGCTCTACTCATTTTTCTTTTTTTTATTCTATTCTTCCAATAAATCTTTACCTTTCGAAAGTTTCCTGCTAATCCAATAAAACGGAATCTGCAAACCCAGTTAGTGACTCTTACGTGTAAGAAGTCATGCATTTCTCGAAAAACAAAGTGACATCCGTTCATCCGATGCACTTAACCAAACTGATGCAGCACTCTGATACAGTAGTTAAATATGAGAGACTATGAAAAGGTATTTAAATTTGATTAACCATCTAACAAGGAAAAACGGTAACGTTCATGAATTAGACGAGTTTTTTTTCAAATAATCTACCTACTGAGGTCTACTGTCTTTAATTTATTAGAATAGATATTCTCTGGAAAATTAAATAATCGAGACCGATAGATTTGTTTCGAGTAATTTAAGTGTTAATTTATGAGGATTTGATTGACTCCAAAGTAGATTTTGTCACTGACAGACAACTGTTAAAGGAACCTACCTTGCCATGGCTCATATACCTACAACATTTGAGGATTAATTTAATTCTCAGTGACGACTGATTGAGGAATGAACTTTCTGGAGTTCTGGTGAGATATAATGGCCAATGTGGTCCAACGATTCCGGTATGAGAACAAACGCTCATCATTGCCGTTGGATGACAATGGAACTTTTTCATAAATTAATGGAAATTGAAATTCGTTAGATTCCAACTCGGGGCCTTTACCTCAATACCTAAAGGTCCTGTATTCAATTCATGTAGTAGTCGGGAGTGTTGATTGATGAAGAGTCGAAGAAGCCGTCCAATGTTTTCTGGTTTCCAGTGGCCCTCTAAATAATGTCTGTTCGAGACCAAATCTACCTTGGTAACTAGGATTTACTTATCTCTTCAGTACGTTACATATCAGGTAGAAATTATGCCCTACTGATTCCTGAGGTATTAGAAATTCTTTTACTAATGGAATTAGCCTAAGGATAAACAGCTGTGTAACTGTCTTGATTTGATTATGTAGAATTAACTGCATGCGTAAAAATAGATTTAATGTGAAACGACATTCTCATGTATTTCCTGTTATTTTATGAAGATTATACATTTCTCTTTGCTTAATGAATGTTCACTAGTGATCTAGTAATTTTGAAATAAAAATGATTTTATCACTGAGGCACCACCTGAAAACTTAGAATACTGTCTTTAGGTAAATAAAGTCTTCTCGATACCTTCGTCACTCAGCCTTTGGGCCTTATATCCATTTGATGTGATTATGAGCAGTAATTTATGTTCATAATGTGATCAAATACTGCATCACTGTTTCATAAATAGACTAAACTTATCTATGAAATTATCTATGAAATTGTATTCTACCACAATACCTAAGTTCTACATTAACACTAAAGTATGATACTGTTCAACGAATCTTCTGATTGTGAGTTTCGGTAATGTAGGAAGTTGTAAGTTTCCTGCCTAAGATCTTCAGGATCTAAACAACCAGTGGTTGAATTCTCTGAATAAGATGAATGAAGGTTTAGAGGCTGAGGGTGTTGACGCTCACGAATAGTACGAAGTATACTAACGCAATATCTAATACCCACAGCTTCTACAGTATTCGTTCCGCGTAGACCAAAAGCAAGGCAAAACACCAGAATTGATCGGCCAAATTACGAATTATATTTCGGGACCGAATAGGAGTGCGAGATGACTGCCTAACTGGCTAGGGATCGTACACGAACGAACGAACGAACGTAACACGACAGCGTGACAAATGGCATGGATGCTTGACCGTAAGCCTTCAGCTAAACAAATCAACTAAAACAATGAGGGTCAGCATCCAATGTTCAGTGATGAATGCTGTGGCCAATAATTCTAGAGAATTACCTACCGCTACAAAGGTTATTTTAATTTCGATTAGTTTCCCTGAAGAAGTTCGGACCACTTTGCTGAACGAAACGTTGGAGTTACTTATTTCAATTTCATTGAGATTTTACAAATATAGTTTTTGCATATGAAACAAGGTCTTGTATAATTTACCAGATATATCTACTCTTTATCACCTTTGAAATTCCGAACACCGCTATACTAATTTTCAATTAATTCTTCACCCTAATATCACGTTCATGTATATTTATTTTACTACCAATTCAATCTCCTCTATCCTTCTTTTCTATGTGTTATTTCAATGTGTTTTTTTTTTATTTTAAAAGAAACACATGCACTTATGTCTACCGTTTCACACTGATCTGTCAGTCCATCTATCTGTATTGCAACTGTTTATTTGAATCAATTTTATATCCTCTGATCAGGAAATACATATACCCTGTTAATAATTATGACCTTTTCTTCCCTAATTAATAAAGAATAATTTGGCAGTCGACTTGTTTTTAAGGTAAATGACACAGTGAATGACTCATTCACCCACTCACTCACTATCTATTCTCTGTTTATCATTGTAAATGTCACCATGGGAGATTTAATTTAAACACACGAATAAAAGTTAACATAAATTGTTAAGATTATGTTCACTAGGTTCAATACGAGCAATAGGTGTTCATTCTGAATCATCATCCTTTTACTCTGTACACACACACACATACACACACATTTGGCATTTGAATGAACCTAATAGTGAAGTCGATTTTGTGTGTTCTAATTGGGAAGTAGATTTCATCCATTTTACAGGAAAAAATCGTATACATGAAGCAAGATTTATTTTTTTTTCATTTGGTAGGTGAATTTAGAACGTATTAGTTGAACTAATGTCTATCAAAACAGTTTCTGATAAGCCTATAAAATAGTTCAGCCAATACTTATTACTTCATAGGCTATATATATATATATACATATATATATATAACACCAGAAATTCATTCCCTTAATTCATGGTTAAATATGTAGGAAACGATATTCACATTGAAAGAATGTTCTGTAAACTTTTGAATAATTTAGATTAACCTATTTGTCTAAAACTTTTGATAATCTGTAGAGTAGATCATCTGACAGGTGACAAACTAGCATTGATGTCTCGTCTAGTTTGGGACTCGTCAGAGATACAAGCATATGAAGCTGATGAACTTCGGCTCGAATGGAATTGCGAGCCGCCTCCTGCCTGTTATCATTGAACACTAAATAGTATTTAATTGGTCGATGGCGACTAGCAGTGGAATCCAGGATGCGCATTTCGTCCCATTTGGGACTCGTCACTGGATGTACCTGCATTTCTCAGTGAGTGGTGATGTTCCCTCCGAGGCTCGAACCCAGTGCCCATAGTTTCAAACGCCAAAGCGTTATCCACTAGACCACTTGGGCCACGAGAGTATTCTTCTATCCTTAAGGATAATTCAGCCATAGAAAGAATCGTTGGCAAAGCACATCTACATCTCTGATTCAAGACTGAAATCAAGACCATCAGGTTCAGTGTTCGCATTCAGACAATGATTGGAAATCCACTAGCTCATAAATTCCGACTATGTTAATTAGCAATAATAAGCTTTACAGTTAGATTTTAGTCCATATCTACGATTAGATAATCTTGTTTAATCATTAAAGTGGGATGATAAAATAGGTTAGAATACTAACTATGTGTTAAAATCAACAATACATGTGTGACTTACTTTTTTAACATCAATCCCCGATTCAACTAATAACTCATCCACAGTACGGTAACCACGAAAGTTTTTCTCTTCTAAATCTGTAAATTTTCTGTCATGATTTTTATTCCGACAAACATTGAGCAACATTGGTATGGTGATTGGTCGTTTATGACTTTTCATTAGTAAATTTTGTATTTCAGTTGGCATCTTCTGGAATGACTCTTTAGCTTTCCATGACTTGTATACAATCTTGCATTGTTCATCATCGGAATCCCCACTGCCATCTGCATAGTAATCTCTGCGTTTTCCGATATCGTTCAGCGTCTCTTTGGATGTTTTACTGTCCTGTTTAGATGAGATACTGTCTTTTAGTATATCATCGATATCTGTGTGCTGTGAAAAATAGGACGTTGACATGGCAGAACTTCTACGTCTATTCGATACTCCATTCTCCACTATTTGTGCACTGTTCACTGAGGACGTCAGTGTATCCTGTCGTAAAGTAGCTTCAGAATCGCGAGAATATCTTACTGCATCCGATTTTCCACTAGGTCGTCTGCTTTGCGACCTTAACTGGACAACATCAGAGTTGTTAGTTTTAGGTGGCATATCCCATAGTTGCGAGTTTCCCATTTCACCAGCATGTGGTGGGTCGGCTTCCTGTAAGGAATTTTGTTGTCGCCAACTGTTAACCTTTTGTATTGGATCTTGGGAGATGGCTGTTTCGAATTTTTTGGCTATTGGTAATTTCTGTGATGCTTGATAATCTGCTTTGTAATTGGCTTCTTTTTCGGCTAAACTTGCCGCTATTTGTTTCCTCCGTTTAATTTCCTCTTCCAACTCACGATTTTTTATTTCATCTTTCTCCCATTTCGCTTTGCGTTCAAGCTGACGAAGACGACGATTTTCCCGTTCAATTTCTAGTTGGATTTGTTTCTTCCAGTCTTCTTCAAGGATTTTCTCACGTTCCAAACGTTTCTGTTCACTAGGAGTAATGGTACTTGGAGCTGGTGTTGGGCTAACTGGTGGTTGTGTTTGTGCACGTGACCTGCCTAAATAGTCAACACCATATACAGACTCCCTCCAACCGCCACGACCGGGCTTGGGACTTTGTGTATCTTCTTCGTTACCTGAAAGCTGTTTTAGATATCGTCCTCCAATATTCATACGTCGCGGAATGCTTACTTTATCTGCACTAGGAAGGGGTGAATTGACTTTAGTGGGCGGGAGGATAATGTCATCACCAGTTTGTGTATAATTGTGTATATTAACAGGACGTGGCATTTTTACTTCTGCTTTCTCCGTTTTTGTTGTAGATATACCTGTTAATTTATTTCTAAAATTAGAATCTTCTTCAGTCGACGTTGCTCTACTTGTAACAACAATATACTTTGTTAAATTGGCATTATTACCTGACTCGTCTAATTCATCCTCCTCTTTTACAATTGATGAAGATAAACTGCTCACTGAAGGTCGATGATAATTACCAGTAGATTTTGATAGATTATTATAGTCTTTTACAGATCCAGAGTCTCTTGAAGATATAGATCCACTTGGGTAACGACTGCTAGAGAAACTTGAAAAATTTGATGAATAATCTGTTCCACTATTTGAATGACGTCCTGAACCATAGGTGTGATCGTTATTTTCATTTCTGCCAGTTAGTACAGAGTTGGCACGAGTTTTCCTAGGATTGTATATATCTGAAGCATAACTGGTACCGAAATTAGGATAGGCTGTTGTTCCAAGCGGTTTTGATGTAGACGTGTAGGATGTTGCTGGAACTGAAGCAGTGCTTCCAAAATGTTTATTTGATGAATATCCATTTGAATAATTCGATGTTAGCTGTTAACAAAAAGAAACAATAATGAAAAATTGAAGAAAAATCTTTCATCAACAATTAAAGTAAACTGAATATATGACCAAACAGATTATATTGAATTGTCAAGTGTTAGTTTGCAGGGATTTGATTGGTTGCATGTTTGATCACGAGCTGATATCGGTTAGAGAACCACTGGAAAGCCAGGGAGTACTGTATAGCTGTCTTATCTTTGTTTGGCACTCTTTAGAAGTACTCACTCATGGCCCCGCCAAAGATAATAATAATAATTTGCTTTATTCCAAAACAGTACTTGTGATACACAATGGAATTCTCAGCATTTCACTACAGTATTGCATCCAGTTAGTACATTATCAATAAATAAAATTCTACATTGAGTAAGGAAACCTCAGTTCATTATGACAACAAAATATTGGCATGTCGTTAGAAAAGTCAAAGTTGAACAGTGTTTGAAGGTGTTAGAAAAGTGGGAGCTGTCATATTTAATGGCGTTAGCGAAAGAAAGAAACAAAGCAGCACATAACAGAAAAAGAAAGAGAAAAGGAAAAGAAAGAAAGAAAATGTTGTACCTATAAATGATATGAGTTGGAAAGACGAGGTCCAGTTGTACTACTGACTATTTAATGAATTATAGGTGTCACGCCTAATGCTTTCTTTATCGCACAGAACACGAGCTAAGTAGGGTATGGTTTAGTTTTTGTACTTGCTGGTGCGAGCATATAGTTTTCTATATAGGCTTCTGGTTTTGCCTGATGAGATGCAATGGGAGATTTGTGAGTGAAGAGGGTGGTGTGAGTTAGATAACCCAAGGCCTTCAGTTTATGAGTCGAGCCCACTGGCTACTCAGTCAGTGGGATAGAATTTGATGGCCAATGAATTCTAACTTCTGTCAATTCGCGATTTGAAATCAAGGCCACCGAAAGAATACGAGCCGACAGTTGATGTTCCACCACCTAACCACTTCTGAAATTCTTTTCAATGACAGGTAGTTTTAACAAACTGGCATGTACTGTATAATAATGCTAACGTGATCAGCATTTGAAAGTATTGGCTCACACTTGATAGCATGGGTACCGTTGATAAGAACTTTAATCATTAATTTATTACATGTATATCAGTTTGTTAATGTGAAGCTAAATAAGACTATCTCACCAGTAACCGTATTTTACTTGTACTCAGGATGTTAAATGTAGCTGACATGTCTTTCGGTTAATTGTTCTACATAACATCATTAAAAGAATTAATGCATAATAGAAATGAACAACTAAGTTAATTAGTGGATGGTGATTAGCAGTGGAATCCTGGATGTGCATTTCGTCCTATTTGGGACTCGCCATCTGTATTTACCTGCATTCCGCAGTGACTGATGGAAAACGTCTTGGCGTTTGAAACTATGGGCAGTGGGTTCGAGCCTCGGTGGAAACATCAGGAATGTAGGTACATCCAGTGGACGAGTCCCTAATAGGACGAAATGAGCACAATAAATGGATTCCACTGCTAGTAACCATCCACCGATTAGCTTCTAGTTGCATGCCCGGACATCATCGAAGCATCTGCACAAGGAGCCGACATGTCAACCTGAAACCGAACACTTCGGTCTAACTAATCGACGGGAAAATCTCAAATTGAATTAAATGAAAAACTAAGTTCTATAGTAAGTAAGACGATGTTTAAATACTAGTTAGCGTAATCAATGTGTGAAAGGTTTAGTCAATTCCTCTAAAATATAAAATATAAATATAAATGAATATTATTAACATTATTTATTTTATTCCTTTACGTTCCACGTGGGAAATAGGGCTTCAAGCCAGAGCTTTGAAGTTTCGGTAGCCGTGGTATTAACTGGCTTAGCGAGATAAAGGAGTGCGTCTACCTAAGGTCAAACCCCAAGCCACCTAAGTGCCACCAACGCACTCAATTGTATCCTATAAATTAAAAATATTCTTTCTAGTTTTGTCCTCTTTGTTTAACTTTCTTATCAGTGTGTTCCATCCTCGTGTGACAGGCACAGTTTTCTTATTGGAACTCATCAGATAAAGAAAATGTCACTACGAAGATTACACCGTAGGACAGATATCTTTAAATGCTAAGGCCTCATACATTATTTCATCAAGTCACCAGAGACACATAACAGTTGTTTGTCTATCCATGTCGTTCAATTTTTTTCTGATTATCATTATTACTGTGCATTTATTCATTCAGCGTTCCTAGAAGAACATGAGGCTTAAGCAGCACATCTCCATTGCATTTAGTTATATGTTACCACTTTCAAATGGCTGCACAACTGCCAAGAGGTTTTTCTGAAGATTATTTTTCGTATTTTCTTGTTTGAAATGGTAACCTATAATATCATGTTCCATGTTAGATAAGTTTATTTCAAATATCACACAGTGATGCAGTATTAACAATATTATGGCAGATTTGTCGCTTTCTAGCTGTTTCTGGTTTAATTCACGAATGCTTTGCTCAGTGCTGTTTCGTGAAGTCAGTGATTATTATTATTTCTTCTTCTCACTCCTACTCTCTTCTGTCGAACTTTGCATCACGTTACCTACAAATAAACTCTGTTTATTAAATTGTTAACTATTTTGTATTCATGTTTCTTGTTCCCTTTGAGGTGAAATAATTTTTGAAGTGTGTTTTATGTTTTTGCATTTATAATAAGTCTTATTTTAGGCTGTTAGCAGCTGAAGATAAGCTGTGAAATAAGAAAAATGAGGTCATTTTATCCTACAAATATATACATTCTCGCTTTGTTCAAATTTATTCTTGCCTAATAAGTGATACACTGTTTTATGAAATCGATAATTTCTATTTCCTACCTATTTATATTTCATTACGAATTGCAGTCAGTTAAACAACCACTGAAAGTCAAGAATCACACAGCCCCCTTTAGGTATTTCATTTTCCGACTCGTCAACAACATCTAAGCTTGAATATGTCTGAAGTTTCAAACGGTGATAAAATAAATATCCAACACTCTATTGCTTAACAATGTTTTCTAGTTAATATTCATTTGTGACATAATCCATCGTGAAAACACTTAAATCACTGCATAACCTGATAATCACAAAAATTGTTTACTTCGCTTTTGGCGGCCTGCTTAAAACATTGAGCTGCCTAGTTTTCAACAGAGCATAATCCACCATCTATGCTCAGTCGCATTTACTTTTAACCATCTAATTGCGTCCTTCAAGAACAGCTGATACTCAAGTGAATCTTTAAGTGGTTTTCAGTATAAAGCTAGGTATGCTTTGAAAGGACAAAACGGTCGGGGTTTAGAACATGTATCTGATTGAATACTGTTCAGCAGAACTATATACTGTAGACTACTACTATTTAACTCGAAGATTTTGAATAAGGGGTAGATGAAATGCGTTGGAAAGTTTGTCCTGTATACAAACGTATTGTTCAGAATAAAGCTATTATTTGATTAAAGATGCTTTCAAAAGAGTGACCAGTGAACAAAGTATATTCCTTTCGATAACTTTATCAGGGTCCATGATAATCAGAGAATTATTCTCGTTAATAGCATTACTACTTCTTAAATAATATCAAATGAATCAGAACAGCAGATTGCATTTCAGAAGCATCTGTAAATAATGACGCGCATCAATATAACATCAAACTGAATATCTGATAAATTGGAAAAAAATAATACAGAATTTGCTAGTTTATAGGTTTCACAGTGGGTTGTGGAAGAATAGTGGTTGGACATGTTTCTTTTGAACAAGGAGTTCTGGTTGTTTTAAAAGAACTATAACAGTCTCTGCTGTCTAGAGCATTTGATACCCGGTAGATGATAGAATAAAGACTCTCATGTGCAGTCGAAACTCTGTGCATAAAAGCGATTGGACAGTAATCTATTGATCTGATTGATTCGATTTCATTTAAAAATAAGAGTTTTCACCGTAGCAACATTTCTTCAACTATAATGGATATATACCTGCAGAACTTAAAGAAGAAGTCATCAAAAGGAATAGTCTTTGTTCATTGGTCAGTCTTCTGAAAGGAATTAAATTTATTCGTTCCGACTAACTCTGAAAGAACATATATATGCGTTGAACATTCATGACTGAGGATAAAAGCAATCGCCAGGTGTTTCCTAGCATAGTGCAGCAAACGTCACACCAGACATTCTAACTGCTTAAAAGCTTAATAAAACACCTTCAAAAACAGTCAAACCTAACATTTGATATGAATACAGCATTCCTGTAGACCCGTAGTACAAAATCAACTAACTGAGGAAATTAAAGTCAAAACTGCCCGCCTCCGTTCTGCATACACAAGTATATATAGCGTGGCAAGTTCGATTATTTGATAGGTTGTTATCCTTACCCACATCAATTATATGTTGTTCACACCGAAAATGGTGGCATCATGTTCCTGAATTTGTTTGTTCCATGAATTACACTAATTACGACAAAATAACTAAGTTGAATAAAGGAAGAACGAATATCTTTGCAGAATAATACTAGCTCATTTTGTTTCGTGGATTCTCTTCAACTACCTACATCCTATATAAATCAGTTATAATATATTACAAAGTTTCTGAACATACGTTTTACAATGACATCGAATTATAGATAGAAGGTATAGACAACACGATTCCAAAAATGATGTAAGTAGATGAACCATTCAGTGTTAAAAGAGTAACTATCGCTTTAGTAATTAGACAAGAGTGGACGGGGTAGAGTTCAGATTTCTCTTGGAAACAAGGATTGATTGGAGACAAATTACAAGATCGAACAAATTGGTGAATTTATACATATTATGGTGGAGAGTTCAGGAGGGTGGGAGTGAATAGTGAAGTAAAATTATAAAATAGATAAAATAATTTAATTTAGTAGATTTGGAACCTTAATAGTGAGTTCAACTCAGTGAGTGAAAATCAAAATCAAGATTGAGTGGAATGTTATGACAACAGAACAAAACACAAAAGCACACAAACAAAACAATTACGGTTACCAAGGTAGTGAGAGATTAGTCACACTATCTTTCTGTA